AAGCGATAAAAAATTTTGATTGAAAACAGACAAGCAAGAAAATCAAGCGTCTCAAAATAGATAATGGTTTGAAATTTTGTGGAGGTGAATTTAATGAGTTTTGCAAAGATGAAGGCATTGTTAGACATCGTATTGTCCGGTCTACTCCACAGCAAAATGGGGTTGCAGAGAGGATGAACAGAACTCTTTTGGAGATAGCACGTTGTATGCTCTCCAATGCAGGATTGTATAAAGATTTTTGGGCTGAGGCTGTCAACACTGCTTGGTATTTAGTTAATCATTCTTCATCTACTGCTATTGAGTTGAAGACTCCACTCGAGGTATGGTCTAGTACTCCTGCTGATTATTCTGATTTAAAAATATTTGGTTGCCCTGCTTATTGTCATGTGAATGATGGTAAACTTGAGCCTAGGGCTAAGAAGTGCATATTTATTGGTTATGCTAATGGTGTGAAAGGATATAGATTGTGGTGTTTTGATCCTAAATCACCTAAGTTTATAGTCAGTAGGGATGTGTATTTGATGAATCTTCTATGTTTCATCCGATAAAGGAGTTTGTAGTTTCTAGAAAGAAAGAACAGGATTATAGCAAGTAGGTGGAGCTACAGGTAGAAGCTTCACAGAATGTACTTGAAAGTACTCCAGTTCAATCTATTTCAGATTTGTCTGCTTCTAGTTCAGGTGATGATCCACAGGAGTATAGTATTGCAACAAGCAAAGAGAGGAGGCAAATTAGACCCCCTCAAAAATATGGGTATGCAGACTTGGTGGCTTATGCACTAACTATAGCAGAGGAGTTTGGTGTTCAGGAGCCTTCCACATATTTAGAAACTATCACAGGTAAAGAGTCTGCACATTGAGTTGTTGCTATGGCTCAAGGTATTGTCACAGTGAAAAAGGTTGCTACAGCGGAGAACCCGACAGATATGTTTACTAAGCCGGTACCTGTGTTCAAGTTCAATCATTGTTTAGACTTGATTGGTGTCTACACTATTTGAGTGTACCCTTCGGGGTATTTGACGAAAGCAGCGATCAAGTTCACATTAGTTGGATGGATAGATGTAATACAAGTCAAGGTGAAGATTTGTCGTGATGACTTGTATTCAAGTCAATTATTTTTTATATGGACTCTAATTGAAGACATGAGTTTTCATTGGAGTCCTTGATAGACAACTTTGACTTTAATTAGGATTATTTTGGTTTTATTATTTAAATAGAGTTTAGTCCAACATGGACTTTTGTTGTTTAAACTCAAAGTCTTCAAGGAGTCTTTGATTTTTTTGTCTTACACATGAGACCTCCTCAGCATAAAGACTTTGTGAAGGAATCAAATTCCTTAGTCCATAAGCTAGATAAAAAGAACGTCTTCTCCAGTGAGGTAGTGTTGGCCATTGACAATGGTACAAGAGTTTTCTTTGTGTGTGATAAATTGATATTGCTCTATTTTGTTAAATCCAATAAATATTTTATTATTGGAATAGAGCAGATATCTAATTTTCTCTTTGATTTGTTCTGAGAACTTTGTAATCTCCAACCTTTCAATAGTAAAATTTTGACGTTGGGTTTCGTTCGTGAATATAGACTTGCTTGTCGAGCCGAACCACATAAATCTTTGTGTTCTATTTTTTTATTTCGTTACGTTATTATTTTGCTTGTGATTTTGTTTATAACAATAATACCAGGGCTTAACTTCATATTTTCTTTTCGATCTAATCAATTTTCAAAGTTATATTTTCTGGTTGATTAGACTAAAGACAATTATATAATTGTATGAATATGATATTTATTTTACATGCATGATATCTGATCTCAAAGGTAGAGAATATCTTTCTTATCTAACAAATTCCTTTAAATCTGTTTCGATTACTTGAATCCAACTCTCTTTTTATTGTTCTTTTTTATTTAATCTTCGTATATACAAACTAATTATCTGAGGACCGGCCTCGGTCTCACTGAGTTATTATTATTGCTAACCACCTGCGCTTTGGTGCGCCATTTTCGGAGTCAAGCAAGTTTTTGTTTTCTTAAAACTTTTTCAAAGTGACACAGTTTTTCTTAATACTTTTTCTAATCAAAATAAATGAAATTTATACTAAGTTATATGGGTGAACAAAGGCGGTGTTTTTCTGCCCAAGAACACTCAAAAATCATGGCATTGTGTCTCTCTCACTTGATGAATACATTGTTTCACTCATGTACTGATCACCCTCTTCCTTTCCCCTCATTTTTTGGGTGATTCTTTTTAATTTCTTTGACAATACAGTCTGATTTCAACACAAAAATTTTTATTTTTATTTTTTGGTCATTGTATAAACTATTCATAAAAAGACAAGTAGAAAACTAAACAAATACAAACCAACATCCTCCAGCTAGCCTATTCCGACCCTTGCTTCCTTTTCAATGAGCTGCAAGATTCGTCCAGTTAGAGCTGAAACCCATTTCGGGGGAAGTGTCCATTTGCATTTTAATCGGTTGCCCTCACTCTTTATAGCTGCATAGCTTACAGATTGGATTTGCTCTATGCCCATGTCTTTCTGTATACTTTCAATCTCCCTCAGTGTGGCTGTAGGTCCCTTCCTCAGAGAGTCGGTAAGGATTTTTGAATCCGATTCCAATATTGCTGCTTGTTAACCTTCATCTATAACCATCCTTCATCCTCATCTAAATGCTCAAGCTTCTACTACTAGTGGGGAGTTTTTCCCAATGCTCCTTTTGGTAGAAAGGATAAAAAGTATGAGGGATATACTTTTTATTCTTTAAAGATGGAAAGTATGGATGATACATTTTCCTTCCTTTGTGTTTGGTTAGATAGATGAAAAATAAAAATGACCAATTTTTTTTTAATTTTTTTTTGTCTAATATTAGGCGTGAAAATTTAGTAGTGTCATATCAGATTCGTGTTGAATCATAAAATTATGAGTTTTTTATATTTCTTGTTCGCATGTCAGTTCATTTTCAAATTAGTATCGAGTTATAATCAAATTCGTATCATAAAATTCATGTCGAGTTCGAGTCGTGTCATCGTGTTGAGTCAAAAATTTTAACCTCTAGTTAAAGATGAAAAAAATATTTCTTTTAATTTAAATTTAAATTTTTTTATTTTATTTATTTTTAATTTATATATATACACATTTTATCATTGTATTTTTATATAAAATTAATATATACATAATATATAATATATAGACAAATAAGATAAATCTCAACACAAATAATCTACTTTCCTTCTGATTTTGGAGGGATTGATTTTGGTGAGTTGGAAGCAAAGTTAATTCATCCACTTTTTCATCCTTCATATTTTCCTTCCTTACCAAACATGATGTTTTATTTATCCTTCCAACTTTTCATCTTTTCATTTTTTCATCGTACCAAACAAAACATAATTGTTTTAGAGGTTCCAGTTAAGAATTTCCCCTGTGCATCACGAGCTAAAAACCCCAAACCCCAAAATGCTCCATCACAGTTGATTTGAGCCACTAGTACCTGGCCTTCCATATGTACCAAAGTAGACATGCAACTAGAGTCTGTCCCCTTTGTGTTCCTTTTCATCAACATGCATGCACATTCTGCAAGTTACTGATCAACCAGTCCTCAATTCTATCGATCCTGCCTCTATCAATGCTAATTCCCAAAGGAGAGTCCTTCCATATTGATAAAGTCCAGGGGGCATAGTCTCCTCTTCTTCTGTACAGATTGGGCATAGCGAGTGTCATAAGATTTTCCTTTTTCATGGGTTGCTCTTTGTTGCTAGTGCTCCAGTTGGTATTTTCCAGGTGAATGCTTATATCTTTGTAGACACTTTTATCTTCCATATAATTTTTCATAAATCCTTTGGTAGTGTCAGGGGCAGCCCAAGATATTTTAGAGCCTAAAGAGAAAATGACGAGTGAGATTTTTTTTTAATATTAATAATATTTTTAATTTTTAATTTTTTTAAATACAAAAATAGTAATTAAATTTTTATATTCAATTTTTTGTTACCATATTTGAACTTGATGGTAAGAGAGAAAAAGAATGATTGAAAAATTATGATAATAAATTTAAACTTGACTTTTTTTGGAATATAAGACTATTTTTTAGTAGCTTTAGTTTTACTAATAGTTTTTTTCTTTTTTGAAAAAAAATTTAAGGCCTTTTAATTTCACTACTGAATCAATAGGTTCAATCGACTTAAGTTAAAACATCTAAATATCTTTCTATTATATTCAATCAATGGGTTGGGCCTTGAATGATCTAGATATCTTTATTGTTGTTTTCTTGATTTTTTGATTTTTAAAATCATATATGGTGTAATTTTATTGGTCCCTATGTAATTTTTCTTTCCAATGTATGCGATGCGTGTTTAACTTCTCTACTACGTATAAAAAACTCAAACTGTTCATTCTCTCTCTATCATAGCCCTCTAGAATTTCTTCTGTCTATCCGTGTTTAAGTGTCTCTATCTATCTACGATAGGGAGAAAATGAATAGTTTGGGCTTTTTATACATGGTAGAGAAGACTAACCAACCGCGCATTTATTTGTCAAACTTTAAATTTTGGTCAAAGTCGGTCAATTACATGTCATTGTTTGAAGATCATTTTTAACCTTTCTTATAAAACTATTACTGTTTTATGCCAAAGGGAACTTTATTTACTCTCTATGGACTTCAAAATCAATTTAGGTCATTGATGGTTTAACCTTCTACTTCACTTGCTCATTTGCCTTCGGTGATTCTTTGTGTTAATATCAATTAATCATGCTTCTAACGAATATTTTCACTACCTATTTTTAAATGTGGTATTTGCACGGATAGATTTTTATGTAATCGTTGAGTTAGTGAGACACTTGACTGGATCACGCCATGGATACTTGAAACAAAGAATGAGGTTAGGATGAGGTCTGTATGTGTATCTAACGTATCTCCTCCGATCCCTAAGTCAATCTCTGTTCAAGTCAGAAGATGTGTAAAGAGTAATGCTATTGCATGTTGTCCAACCCTTTGGACTATTTATACCTTGAGAGAGGTGCCACCTTTGAGCGAAATCCTCTTATGAGGCTGTCATGCCGTGCACATAATATCTTCAGACAAAGAGTTATTTCTAGGTGGTTTCAGACTGCATGCCACAAATAGGCCCTAGAGAGTTGTGAACTGGGTACTAAAGGCAGAGTCTGGAACCATGGTGGTACTTGGTAATGATCCCACAACCTAATGGACCCAATCATCAAGTGGGCCTCCATAGATTATAGGGCTGACCCAAAGCATCAGGAAAAGAGTATGGTAGCCCACAAATTTCATATGACAGTTTCTCTCAAGCACTACTTCCAGAGATAGGAGATCTTATACTGCAATTTTGAATATGCCCATCACAAAGCTGATTTTCACATAGTTGATAGAATGATCTTGCTATCAACCCCACTTCTCTCTTATTCCAACACACACAGACACTGACCAGCCACGCAACGAGGCGATAATGCCGCGGAAGCCTCGTTACATGCCGTTGTGAGGTCAGCTAAATCCATAAAGAACCTTTAGAGGATCTAACTGCCCACTACAATAGCTTGAAGAGACACTGCAAAGTTCTTGACAGCCTCTCCACTCCTCAGATGGTTTTAGAACAATTGGCTTTTCAAAAGCAGCTGAATCAACAGATAACATAATCTTGTAGTCCTCGTCTCTGAAATCTGGCAGAGCTTTCGCTGTCTTGTCCCATGGATTCCACACAACTATGCCACAAGAGTCAAAGTTTTCTTAGTGAAACAACGGTAATGACAAATTGTAAAAGGATTCAGAACAAGGTACATGGTGATCAAACAGTCACACAGACCAGCATCTGGGAGCCCTTCCTTGCGCAGCACAAAGGTTCTCTTTTTCTCATGGTCTATAATGGCAATGTTTGCTGGTGTGCTTAAATAAATGCGGTCAACCTATTCACACAGAAAAATGCTAAACATGAGGCTTTACTTATCATCAGTCCGCAATGGGGTTGGGGTGATGCTTATGAATATGTGGAAGAATTTGAAAAGAGCAAGTTCACTAGCAGTCAGATCTCTATGTTTCAGTATCTAAAGTTATTTGTGTTCAAACATGGAAGCACAGACGCACGCACACACAACCACCCAGTAAGAGAGATAGAAAGACACCTCACTATCAAATGTAATTGCATCTGCTTGCTCCGTAAATCTTTCTCTATGCAGCAAATTGTCAAGGTAATCAAGTGTCTCCAAGCCTTCAACACGTACTTCACTGCAAAACAACAGCATCATGCAACCCTCCAGAGCAGGATAGTAAAATATCTTCCAAATTAACAAGTATTAAGCATCATATTACGTAATAGTATCGACATAGATGAAAATGGAAGAATGAACTATTAGGGGACAAATATAAGGGATAATGATACTGTGCCAGGTTTGCGAACTTCTGGTTAAATGTAAAGAGTGTCCATCATCAGCATTAGAACTGAAAGTCACTTAACAAACCTGATGTCAGATACAGATAAGTAGTTGCGCAGAGCAAATGTAAATGAAAGAGACTTTTTATCGGTATTCCTCACACAAGGGATCAGGGTCAGCTTGCTTGGACCCAGAGAAATATGAAGCCGCAATTCAAAGCTGCAGATACCATCAACCAATGGTCAGACTGATGAATCCAGAAGTGTGGTTAACTTCTACGCAGTTGCAGTTATATGACCGACACAAATAACATATCAGTCATACCTATGAGGCAGAATTTTCAGATGTCTTCCACTGGGCTTAAAGATAAGATCCACCGATGACAAGTTGTCAGCGGGAGCCAGATGCAAAGGGCAATTATCTAATGACCATAATCTGTTACTTGCATATCCATGTTGCTCCAATAGTCCCAAGTTGCCAAACTGAAAGCACAAAAATGAACATATGGTTCCCTAAACAAATGTAAACAGGTACAAGGAAAAAAAATTGGGCAGACTTCTCAATAGGACAACCTGAGGAAAACATACAGATATCCCTCCCTTGATTACGTTTGGAGATTTCCCAATAGCCTATGAATTGAAACATAAGAATTATTCTTCTGATTTGAAATGCAATGTGAAACACAAATTGTTATAACTGGAAAAAGAGGGTCTTCAACTATCCAAATAAGAAGGATTACTGTGTTCGACACTACTTGGTGAATAAATCCAGCTAGGTGACCCAACCATTATCCTTGAGCATTACCAGCTAATAGCATGATCGAGCACATTCATAAAATTCTATTCCACCTTAGACTTCACAAACGGGGAACCAAATGCTTACCTTGCTGCTCCTGAAAAGCAGCTCTTCACCATGCTCATTCTTCCAAGACACCACTCGCCCATCATAGAGAAGTACCTGCAACATTGATATCAAGTTATGAGGCAAAGGACTCATAACAGGTGACAGAACACAAATCATGAGTATATATCTCTTCTAACAACATTTAAATCCAAAAGATGCATACAGAGAACCATCAAGTGAAAACAATAAGTCAGCATTTTTTCTGTCATATTTGGTTTTGAAGAAACTGCAAGCCGTGTAAAAAATGTATAGGCTACCAAATACACGACACAGTTAATTTAATACCTCTCACACTGGCAGTTGAGCTGACTATGGCGTAGAAAGGATTATGGGTGGCATTTTTGCTTGATTACCATTACCAAAAAAAAAAAAATGAGGCTATGCACAAAATGCTCCTCAAGTGTCTTTTTCTTTTATTTTTCATAATGTTACAAAAAATATGGAAAAAACAAAATAAGAAAAAAAATTAAAATAAAAAGTTAATTTAGACACGTTTTTAGTGACTGAAATACGTACAATTCATGAAGGAACAAATGCAACATTGTTAATGGGGCCATAAAAGGATGAAGGAGAGCCGTCATACAGTATCTGGTTTGTCTCTCCTCAACATCTACTTATCAGAAAAAAAAATAATAAAGGAGCCTTCATAGAATCTGATAATCTCAGGACAGTTTTAGTGTTGCACGACATGCCATCTTTTCAAACTTAGACTATTATTTGTGACCCTGTCATTCGATGTCCATGATTACCCCATTAATGGAGTTATGTCAATTTGTGTAAGCACCAAATCAATTGAAATTTGACAAACGATATCGAAACGCCACAAAATGATATAGGAAGACACTTTTATATTATCCAAGAGAAAATAAACAACTTATATTAATATGTCAGAGTCTCCTGTAGGCAGCAGCTTGGCTTTGCTATCGCTAATGACTTGGTATAGAGCCGTGTAGAGGTCAGCCTTCCCACACTCTGTAAAGCCCAGTCCTTGTATTGATTACCCCAAACATAGCTTTACAGCCTCTTACTACATGGGATGGTAGAATAGAAGTCTCATTGCCAGCAATAAGCTCACATCTAACACCACAACTCTCAAGTCATGACCACAATATGACTACAGTTTGCAAAGATCCTTGCAAAAGAAACAAATTTGGATAATCTAGGCTCCTATGTAGCACAGACGCTCTCAAGAAGGTGACGTAGCCGTGTCACACATCGACACTCTTTGGACATTCTCGGACACGTGTCTAATACTCTTTTATCCATGTTCAAAATTAAATGAAAATATTTTAATTGCGGACTCGTGTCCGACACTTCTTTAGTAACATGTCCAACACTTCTTTAAACTATGTCTACTACAAAACAAAAAACGTGTGTTAACATGTGATTAACAAAAGTTTAAAATTTGACTAATAAGTATCTTATACCATGAAAGAACATACAATTACCAAAACTAAACAAAATTATACTCAAAATATAATAACACAATCAAAAAATAAATAAAAGATTTAGAACAAAAGCAATTAAGAATATGAGAGCAATCATTTAAATTATATATGTTTAGTACACGTTTATGAAAAATTGATGACTATTGACTATTATAAAATCTAAAAATACACATCTAAAAATACACGCTAGATGACTAAGCATAACATTTACTATCATAAAGTATTAATTTTTTTTATGAATATTATGTCATTATCACTATAGTTATGATAAATTATATAATTTTAGATATAAAGTATAATTATTCGTACCGTGTCCCTAATATGTCCCATGTCCATGTCCTACTTTTTTGAGAAATATCGTGTATGCGTGTCTGTGTTGCGTCAAATCCATGTCCCGTAGCTAGAGCCTAGGAGAAAATCAAAAGCACCCTTCATACCACACATCATCATAAAAATCCCATATCATCCATATGGTTCTGATTATTGACTAAAGCACATGAATGAAATTAAAACGACAAGATTGAGATCGTGTATGAGAGAGAGAGAGAGAGATGAACCTCAGCAGAGGAACCACCAGGCTCAGAGAGTAAAACGCGGGGGAAGCCGTTGGGGTCGTTAACGATATCAAAGGGCATTTGCTTAAAGGGACGGAATAAACTCCAGCTTATTCTTCTCACTATTGGGTTCTTCTCTTTACCCCCTTTTCTCCACTCCAGCTACAAACATACGCACACAATACACACATATCAACACAACAAAACCCAAAAAGGAAAACAAGAAGAAGAAATCTCATACCTATCAACATAGGCAATTATTACATGCAGAATTCGAAGTTTACAAAGCAAAATTGACTGTCAATGAGAGCTTCACAACAGCTCCAGTTATGAACAAAAACAACCATAGAGAGAAAGAGAGAGAGAGATATAAAGATACCTTTGCTGTTTCTTTTCTTTATCGTAATCGATTTCGAGTCGGACGATCAACGTAAACGTAAACACTTTCCTCAGACACCCATATCCCCATAAAAGTACAAACAGAATATATAATTGAATTAAAGAATGAGAAAGAATGAGAGAGAGAGAGAGAGAGAAAGGATGGGGCAGGGTAAGAGTTAAGTGTTAACAGGAATGTGAAGGAAAGGAGACCCATTGCGTTCTCTTTTCTCGGATGCTCTGTTCCTTGCGTCCCTTTCTGATAACGATGGGAATCTTTCAGGTTGGTTGCGAGGGCGGAGGGAGGTTAGGGCCAGGGTGGGCACGACCCTCCCCCAAAAGAAAAAAAAAAATTTAGTTAAATATATATATTATATATTTGTATAATATATTATTTATGTTCATCCAAAATCTAAGATAAAAATATTAAGTCCACATTATTTACTCAAAAGAATTAAAAAATTAAGCCCATTTAAAATAAAAAAATTTGAGCCAACTACTGTCTACCAAAACTTATTAAAAAATTAAAATTTTTGACCTATCACAACCCATCCAAACCTTTAAAAAAATAAAATTTTTAATCCACTATTAAAAAACAACGTTTTTGGCCCATTTGACAAACATCAGTAATACCTATCTTATTAGTTATCCTTTTTTTTTTCCTCTCTGTCTCACTCACTCCTAGTTGCCCAACTAAAAGAAACAGAGTAAATCTCATTTCTCAATTCCTTGGTTTTTTTTCTCGTTTCTTGCACCGTTGATGAGTTTAGTAGAGAGCATGGCCAGAGGCATATGCCCAGGGGGAGGGGGGCACATGTCTACCCTCAATTTTTTTTCTTAATATTATCTATATGTATTTCAAATATTTCTTCAATATTTTTAATTATGTCCACCCTAATTTTTTGGCACATCAATTAGTGTACATTTATATCAAATAAATATGAATTTTTTTGACACATTCTGAACATGTTATGTATATAAAGACCAAAGTGATAAAATGATGGTGTATATAAAAAATAATAAAGTTGTTAAGCAACGGTTTCAAAGTATAAAAATTCACAATTCTAAATAATTTTAATTAACCTATATTTTGTAAAAAAAAAAAAAAGAAAATTGGTATCGTTTGTATATACTAAGCTTACCAAATTTTGGTATGTTGGATTTAATGAACTTTTAAGTATTAAATAGGATGTAATTAAATATAAATTATTGTCCTATTTCTATTAATTGTAAAAAAAAAATTTAGTTTGTTAAAATATTTGTGCCCACCCTGGCTTGACTTTCTGGCTCCGCTCTGGTTGGTTGGTTGGAGAGGAAAAAAAAACAGAAAATAATGAAAACATTATCAAAAATTCAGGATTTTTGTGTTCCATAATTTTTTTTTTTTTGGGTGTCATACTAAAAATTATTATTATTAATAATCAAGTTATATCTTTTAATAATGAAGTTATAAAAATTAATCATGATCTATCATAAATAATTTTAATCTTTTAAACTGTATAACATAATTTTTAAAAATGATATTTATTTTGATGGACCTAGACCACAACGTTTGTAATTAATCATATCCTTTAAAATTATTATTTATACTTTAAAATATTATATTTTTTGGTATAAATACCTCCTTCAATATAATAATTTTATTCTTCATGAATATTGTACTTCTAATGTAGATAGTCTATTTTTGAATAGATTATCAAACTTCAAACTCAAAACATTTAAATGTATAACTTATCTCTGTTACTACTTTAACCACCTAATTACCTAAGCATCACCTTCCAGCCACCAATTGAGAATATGTGTTTCGAGTGCAGGCATGGGCTGTTTTTTGTGGTTTCAAAGTCACAAATTAATAACTATTTAGGAAAAGGCAAATATAAAGCTGAAGAACAGACTCATTGCTTCATAAGATCAAAAAGTCGGTGAACACTTTTCAGAAAGTCTCCATAACAGCAATAGTTGCGTCTGAGATATAAATAATTTGGTAGGTATACCGAATTCATCAAAATTACTAACAAGTTAAATCATCGGCATGTTACGAAACTCTGGATCGAGAACGAACACAAAAGATTTATGCAGAAAAGAAAAGCTAAATTGTATATAAGATAAACCCATTTCACTATGAATGGGGAAAACATAATGGAAACAGAGAAATCAAAAAACTCAAAAGAATAGTTCAAGTAGTAACATGAATGACCTGTATACCCAAACGTTCTGAATTCAAATCTTGACAATTTTTTGAGACTAGGCCATGAAAAATTTATCTCTCGTGAATATCATAATCCTATCGTGGGTAACCTGCCATTGACCTTACTGGAGAAGTGATTAGTCGAGATGTGCGTAAGCTGACACAAACACCACTGACCGTTGAACCAAAAAAAAAACAAAGAATCAAGATATAATAGCTGTTTTCTAGTTTACATCTCAAATAAGAAAATGTAATCTCTCATTGGACTGCTGTTTGTCTTTCATCCATATCTTCATGCTCAACCTGTCAAAGGAAACATGTATCTGAGACATTAGGATTGCAATATAATTGTAGTCACAAACCATAGCGATGGATTAATGCGAAAAATGAAGGCAACAGACAAAAAGCCCATCTTATGAATTTGACATGCCTACTTTTCCCATGAGCCATACACAATTCCACACGTATGTATGACTAGAGTGAAATAAGGAACTGATATTATAAATTCAATTTCAAGAAGATAGCAGACAGAATGTATATGCTAGATGATGCTTTCATTCATAGTTGCCATAACTAAAACTCAAAACTGAACGAAACAGAGATTAATCTTTGGAACATGTAGAACTTGAAGTTCAGAAAAAAGATGCACATGAAATGCTGACAGATGGAAGACCCCAATCATATCATAGATTTGTACCAACATAACCTATTGGTAGCACTCAGGCATTGCACCATGATAACTTTATTTCACAAGGCAGTAATTCTAAAGAGGCAATCATAGACTCTCATACCATAGCCTTGCAATTATTTCTGTCACTTCCGTAAGAAGCAATGTATGAGGTGTTACCATAATTGGCCATAAAAATAACAATATAATTATCGAAAAACCAGCATAAAACTTTTAACACCTCTGCTTTAGCAGTAAAGGTCGTAACTGTTATTTTCTCCATGCAAGATGGAATGCAAAATGTATACCTGGAATGATATACTAAAGCGGGGGAAATCCACAATTTTGTTCAAAACAAATGATTTTACATAGATGCCTACCTCAACAAGTACCCTTGCTTTCTTCTTTGACTTGGCCTCAGGTTCATCTTTCTCAAGCTTTCTCAGAGCTAAAGCAGAATCTTTTCTCTCTCTTTTCCGAGCAATTCCTACTGTTTCTTCCTCTTCTTCTTCCATACCAACTGCATCAAATTGCTAACATTAGAATATGATTTCTTGTAACTTAGATGTAACTAAAATCAACATAAGAATGTTATCATCTAGCATGTAAAGTACGTGTTTCAGAGTGACAGGACATAAAAGAGACATAGGATAATTTCCTCGCATTAAATTTCTAATCTGTAAATCATTTCCGCCCATAGCAACAAAATCCACGATATAATCTCACGTAACCAATGCATAAAAAAAACTAATAAACAGGTAGGTTGTGTCCAGTAGTACTCATGAGAAACATATGCAACCATTTGTGAGGTAGCTGGGGGATTTTGAGTTTTTTATTCCAGATTTTCTATGAAACCTTGCGACATAGTATTTATCAACAGCTTTACCATTATCATCATCTTCACCAGCTTCTTCAATAGCAAGACCACCAAAATCTTCCATATCATCCTCTTCTTCAAGTTCTTCATAACCTTCAACATATTCTATCTCAGGTTCCTGCTTGTATCAAGAATGCAAAGAAAATGAGGTCTTGCATACATTGGACCATTATCCCACCCCCCACCCCCCCAAAAAAAAAAAAAAACCCAAAAACCCCCAAAAGAAATTAAATAAAAAGAAATAGACAAGCACGTAAAAAGGAAGGCGTATATCGGCCGTTTAGTGAGACCTCTTCATCTTCACTAGCAGCCTGCAGTCCATCCATGTCAAGAACTTTATTGTATTCTTTAACAGGGAAATTGTATATGTCACCATAAACTCCTCTCTTAAGGCGTTCAAGCAATTCCTTTTCAATACTCTGCATAACAGTTAAAGGTGACAGTGAGTTCTACAAACAAATTAGACGATATCATTGGTATGCTCCAGCGCGTGAGGCAAGAATAATGAGTGTACTAACTTTATCCAAAACTGCTGCCTTTTCAGCCTTTTCCTCTCTCCTAGCTTCTCTCTTTTTCTCTTTCCTAGGAGTTGTCATTATCTTTTCCCTGCACGATGACGCATAGATGGCCAATAACAAAACATGTTCAGTGAAAATATTCTCTAGGCTACAAAGCATTACATGCTGTAGCTACCTGCTTAGGCAGCACAAAGAAACCACTTATAACCAGAGGAGGAAATGAAAAGATAGATGCACAATTTTAATTGTCACCAGCATCTCATGACAAATTGGAATGCAGGTTAGTGAATGCCTCTGTGTCACCCAGGTATAAAAGGTACCTACATATTCTATGCGGAATTGACTGATTTCCCAACAATACGTTTACCCAAAAAAAAAAATCATGTGTAATGCAACTTCTTTTCATCTCACACCTAGTAATAGCCATGCTACACAGGAAAACATTCAGCAGTATTCCCAAACTGCAATTATTGCATCCATCATGTCAAAAATAATGGTGTAGAAGTAGAACCTGCAGTTATACATGTTGCTTGCTGAATCTAATCACTAGTGGCTAAAAAGAAGTGTCAAGATACCATCTAAATCATCAACCACCGAGCATGCAGTAAACAGGAGTCTCATGTGGGCAATGGGGCACAATAACTGAAAGCAAGATATTTGAACCTTGTTTTTAAAGCCAGCTTCCTCATGCGTATTCGTATCTGAGTCATTTTGGTCAACCGTTGCTTTGTTTTATGTACAAGAAACTTGGGCCAATACATCTGTGCATAAAAATAAAAATAAAAAAGAACTGTACATTGAGGTATTTACAATATATGTGATAAGAATCAGTTCAGAATCCTGTAAAACTGGAAAAAAAGGATACAAATTTCTTAGTTCTTACCATATGCTTGTCAATAATTTCAAGGGCTTTTTCATAATTTCTAGGCAATTTAACCCTTTCCCACAATTTGTTTGGCATGTGAGACCTTTCTATTGTTTTCATGTACAAATAGAAGATTCCTGCAGAAAATCAAGACCACAACACAGGATATTCAGGTGCAATATTTCTCATATTCACATAAAAATGTAGAATACATTAAGATCAACTGTAAGCTATCATGCTTCATAGTTAATTCTCAAAATATAAAGTAGTTCATTGCTTTTGCGATGTTATTCTATGAAATAAGGCCTTCCTTGGCATCATACAATTTAACTCAATTCAACAAAATCTTGTCCCCACATTTTTTGGGTCGACTACATAAATCATATTTTGTCGTTGTGCTATATCAAGGGTCATATTTTCTGTTTAACTAAGTTATCATATCTTTCTTTACTATCACATCACTCGTTCTCACCGGTGTCATATTAGACCATTTATAAATATGTTCAAACCACCCAAGTCAATTCTTGCTAAATTTATCTCTTATATATGTTACATTTACTTTTCATGATTATTCTGATAACTTATTCAATCTTTTTACACATTCATCTTAATATTTTCATTTCTACCGCACTCAATTTTTTAATGTGTTGCCTCTCAGTTACCCAACACTCGATCTTATGGCCGTTCTACAAAAATTTCTTTTAGGTTGAAGGATATGCATCAATTACAAAATACACCAAATCCATTCCTCCATTATGCCTTCCTCATTATGAATGATTGACCCCAAATATCAAAAGTGTTCACTTTTCGGTATCTCTTAATCTTCAATTTTTACTAATTTACTGTTTGGATGTATGAGAAGACTACACTTCCTGATATCTAAGTAAAAACTCACACCAAAATGCAAATAACCACAATGCGATAAAACAGGAATACCATAAGAACGAGCGTTAGACAGTAATTACCCTCGTGGTCGCGGATGGTGGCGTACCGACTATTGGCGAGAGGGCAAGAGCTCCGATTACAAATCCCAGTCACGTTATATGGGTTCCGACAGAAAATCCCCGTCGTTATTCTATTATTATACAACAAAAACCAATCACCGAACCATTAATCGAACGAAAACAAAAAAATCAATGCATTTATCAATAAAAATTGGCGATAATGAGGCAAGTACTCAAATAAGAAACTAAAAGGGTCAGCTTGATCAACTCACTTAGCCATAAAACTGCAGTGATTGTGTCTGATAACTTGCCATATGACCTCGTCGTGCTGCATTGCTGTTTATTTCTCTTCTTCGTCTTTCCTTAATTTATCTCTAATTAGACTTCAGCTGGTCTGATCGAAGATGAAAAGAGAACAGAAAAACGCTTAGGGTTTTGAAAACACTAAAGTTTGTTATTAGGGTTTATCAGTTTATGCGCTGCTAGTATTGGTGGGCATCCACGGAGTGTCGAAACCCTTACTCGGATCGGTTAACTTTTTCCTACACCATTTATTTAAAAAAAAAAAAAGGCTAATCTCACTTTGTACCTCAAAAGATGTTTCAATTCTTAATTTATACCCTTATACATTAAAACTTAATTTACACATTTAATGTTATGAATTTGTAGTAATATGAACTTGTCTAGACTGTCGTTCAATTTTTATCATAAATTGAAGCACGTGAGTTACAAGTGTTTTGGGTATAGGCTCATGTGTAAATTCACAAATTATTGACACCTCATGTAAATTGAACATGATAAGGTTAGTCTTTATCTAATTAATGAAATCTTATTTTTGACACACAATAATATTTACAGACAAATATCTATAGCCGATGGGCTCGATCCAGACCAGACCAGATCACAAATAGAGACAGGCCCAGATCACAAATAAAGACCAATAAAGGCTCAGTCACAATTTCAATTGGGCTAAGCCCACTGTCCTGAAAAACCCAATCTTACTAGCGCACGTGGAGATCTACATTTTAGGAAAAGAAATATGTGGAATGCAGTCATTGAGGTGCACATCGCCAGCTTCACGAAATCACCTCACTCGTTATGGGAATGACGTCGGTCTCATGGAGCCACCCCGCTCCCTGTTATGAAAATAACGCCTCAATTGGAGCTATCTTGAAGCCGTTATGAAACTTTACTTGCTTATAAATTGTAAACTCAGCCTACACATGAGAAGCATCAATCATCTCTCAGCATTCTATACACCTTGAGTAATAAAATTCTCTGAGCACTATAGTCATTCCTTGTGGAATAGATCACTTAAACCGGACCACCTAATCTGTGTATTTGATTGTGTTGAGCATACCTCATTACATACTAGATTGATTCTGCATAAACACTTGTGTGCACCATCAGTTTGTCACCGTCTATGAGAACGATTTAGCTTTCATCCTACTATATTCCCACTTTTTATGACTATTACAACTAAATCTATTAATCAACAAACAGAAGATGATGATCAACCCTGTCACAATGAGGTCCGCCCCTTCCCCCTCGGGACAAACCCTGTTGTTGGACCACAACTACTAGAGACTATGCTATTGTTGGTGAACCAAAACCAACAACTCCTCCAATTGATGCTTATTGGGTACCCTTGAGGAGCTGTGCCCCAGCACCCTGGAGGGCCAGTGCGCCAAGGTGGCCCAACTCCCCCTTCTACGCCCGATTCATCCTCCCATACTTGCAACCCTCCATTCCAAGAAAACGAGAGGAAAAACCACCATGTGGACCATAAAAGGCACTATAATAGCCCTTCTGATAGCGTCCCCAACTATTGAGACGAAAAAATTAATGAAATGCAGAACCAATTATGCGACGTTTTTAATGCCATGAAGGTGCAAGGGCCGGAAACAATTGAGTACCCTGTGAGGCGTACTAACACGTCATTTGTAGCTGATGTGATCAACTAACCCCTCCCCCCAAAGTTCAAAATACCAACTATGGAAGTTTTTGACTGCTCAAATCTCTCATACAGCTGCATAACATATTAGATGAAATTATATGCAACACTTATCCTATGAAATTATGTGCAACGCTTTCCTACAACCCTCAAAGGATCAGCGTGCTAGTGGTTCGCCAGATTCAGACCAGCTTCCATTAATTCTTTTGTTGAACTAAACAAATCCTGCATCTCCCACTTCATAGAGGGACGCTGACACCTAAAGCCTGCTATCCACTTGCTCATCATCAAGAAAATCCGAGAAAAAAGTCTAATTAGTTACCTCATTCGTTTTAATGAGGATGTTCTCTAGATTGAAGAGTCAAATGACAAAGTCACCATGACTGCCTTCATAAGAGACTTGTATTCATCCAGTTTTTTATTTTCAATTTTAAAGCGACCGCCAAAGGGCATGCTAGCATTATTATCAAAAGCACAAAAATACATGAATGTCAAGGACTTCACCAAAGTCAGGAGACACGAGCCACAAGAATCCCCCTAAACTCCTCGTAGCCATCAATAAAAGTGGCTCCGAGCGCTATCCTCCAAGTTATGGACAATCTTCTCTAGAGTCTCTCTCATCTTCTTCATTTCCTAAGAGTGAGTCTCAATCTTAATAGCCCTCTCATGAGCTACCCATAGCTCTACCCCAACTCCGGTAGTCCCCTTATGAGATATCTGCTCTACCTCAGCTCCAGTAGCCCTCTCATGAGCTACTCATGGCTCTATCTCAACTCTAGTAGCCCTCTTGTGAGCTACCTGCAACTCCTTCTTTGTTTTCGCTCAAGCAGCCTCAAACTCAGCCTCTAACTTAACGGCTCTCTCGCAAGTGACCAAAACTTCGGCCTCAAGAGGAGCAGCTCTCTCGCGAGCCATCCTCAACTCCTCCTCTACGGCCTACTGTGTTTACTTCTCCCTCATCAAAGTCCTCGATATCTGCTCATTCTGGTTGACCCTTATAAAAAGGCACATAAGGGGAATACAAAAAGTAGAAACAATCTTAGCAATTTTTAGCATTAGTATTGATAGTACTGAAAATAATGCCCAACTTGGAACCGTCGTTGTTAACGACTACTTTGCCACGCTGTTTGCGTCGTTGTAGATGTTAGGTAACATTGTTTCTGCCACTTCTAGGCACGCCCTAAAAATCAGGTCGTCTGCACCTCACAAAACTGTATCAGTTTGTGCGCAAAGAATTGACGTCTCATCCCTTTCGTCACCATCACCATCACCTTTGGCACTAGCCACCACGCTCTCAGCACCTCGCCTCCTGGCACCCGCGTGCCTCCTACCTCTAATGCCTTGCCTCCTAGTGTCTGTGCCTCACCTCCTAGCAGTCACGTGCCTCGTGTCGGTAGCGCCTGGCCTTCTATGCCACACACTTTTCTCTTGTTGTAACTCTACATCTCACATTTTCCCTTTTCATCCTTAGATGAGTATGTAGGGTACTATTTAAATCCCTAGGTATCAATCACTAACAGAGGACGAAGACAAGCTTGAGAAGATTAAACAATAACCACAATTGTTTATGGAGTGAAACAGTTGCGACAAGAAAAGGCATGGAGAACAAGAATGATTGAAAGTCACTAGAGTCAATAACTAGAAGCAATGGTAAAAAAGTATAAAGTAAAATTTATTCTTACTAATGTTCTCTCTCCTAAATCCCATTGGACTCCGGGCATGGGGACAAATGATGGATCTAGCCTAGACAAGGCCCAGATCACATATGTAAACTAGGGCCAAATTGCAGGTGCATACCAATAAAGGCTCAGTCACAATTTCAGTTGGGTCAAGCCCACCGTCCCAAAAGACCCAGTCTATTACTAGCGCATGTGGAATTCTCCATTTTAGAAAAGAGAATCCGTGGAACGCAATCATCAAGGTACACATCGCCAGCTTCATAGAATTACCTCGTTTGTTACAGGAATGACGTCGGCTTCACAGAAACCACCCCCCTCCGCTCCCTGTTATGAGAATAACGCCTCAATCAGGGATCCCGGAGCCGTTATGAAACTTTACTTGTCTATAAATTATAAATCCCGTCTACACATAAGGGGCATCACTCATCTCTCAGCACTCTACACACCTTGAGTAATAAAATTTTCCAACCACCATAGCCATTTTCTATAGAGTAGATCACTCAGACCAAACCACCTAATCTGTGTGTTTGATTGTGTTGAGCATACTCTATTACATACTTGATTAATTTTACATGAAAACCTTTGTCCATCATCAGCAGTGATAGACATACTTCATGCTTGTGCTCAAAGTACTTGTATTTCATGTACTTCAATTTATAACGAAAAATTAAACGGCCGTCTGGATCATGTCGATCTTGCTACCAATTTATAGCATTAAGGGTGTAAATTGAGGTTTTTAATGTTTGAATGTGCAAATTAAAAATCAAAATATCTTTCACATTCAAAGTGAGATTAGCCCCCAAAAATTTTTATATTTCGTTAGCTTACTCCAAAAAATAGTTATATTACATTATAATGTTCTTCCAAGTTCCAACAAAAACCAAAGCAAATAATATTAAAAAAATTCTTAAAAAAAAGCAAAAGAAGCAAGACTTCACAAGAATGACAAAAAATATTTAAAATGTCAAGAAAAACTATATTATCTTCATTAGGTTATAGTTCTCAGCACGGTTTGTTAATTGAATGTAAGATCGACACAAACTAACGAATAAAAAGTTTTTTTTAAGAGCAATGTTATTGGAATCTAATTTATTGACATAATTTATTGAGCTAATTCACTGTAACCTCTAGATTCACTGTAGACCCTATCAAACATTGAAACTTGGTGTTGATTCAATGATTCTTATGAAATTGCATCATTATGTCAGCAAATTAGGTCAAATTTTTAAGTTCAAATAATATTACTCTTTTTTTAATGCATTGGAATCATAACCAAATTGATGAAGTTAATTAATAAAAAGAATTAAGACGAACCGATGAGATATGACTACACATGTCCCACAACAAGAAGACTAAATATTAGACTATCTTCCGTTCTTACACAAACTCTTATTCAAATTTGAGTAAAAAAAATGATAAAAAACTTAGTTTGATATAAATCTCTCTAATAGACAAACCTTTTTTTAAGGAAGAAAAAGTCAAATTTAAATGAAGACAAATCTAAATTTAAAAAAAATTAAAATATGACTATTGAATCTTTAAAGGAGGGTGAAATCTCACCACTAAATATTTGGGTATATGAATTTGAGTCTCCCTTGATTTGAATAAAAAAAAAGTTGTATTTCTAAGAACATCTCCAATTTTTACCCTTTTTCAAACTCAAATTTAAATTAAGATAAAAAAAACTCCTAAAAATCTTCTCTAATGCTAAACTCATAAGGAAAGCTCTTTTGCAAAGTCAAATTAAGGGAGACCCATTTTTAAACATAAATCTTTAATGGTGAAACTACACCCTTTTTTAAATATTCAATGATCATATTTTACTCTTTTTTAAATTTGGATTTCTCTTCATTTAAATTTGAGTTTCTTCATTAGAGA